CTTCAGAGTGCCTATCTGAAAGAAAAGGACACACAGTGAAAATTGCCTAAACAATTTGCTGACACACAATGGATAGGTTTCCTAAACACTTTTTTAAAAATTTTATTGTAAAGGTAATGTACAGACGGGTTACAATTACATAAGGTGCTGAGTACATTTCTTTTCGAGCATTTACCTCCCCCCTCATTTTCTCCTACTTCCCCTTCATCCCTCAAGTTGTATAGTTCATTCCCAACATGTCTAGTATCACTGTTGAATTGGTTCGCCCTTTGTCCCACCATTTCTGGGATTCCCCTTCCCTTCCTCAAATCAGATAAACTTATATACCAGACAGAGATTACAGAAATCAAAAACAGTGATAACAGGGTATAAGCCAAAGCAAGCAAGTGAGAGAGAGAGACAGAGAGAGACAGAGAGAGACAGAGAGAAAGTAACTGAAAACAGTATTCCAGAGGCTGAGGTCTAAAAATTGTGTATCAAAACCTATGCCAAAAAGTCTGTAAGACTTTCCCCTCCAATTAACCTCCAAAAAGCCAGAAGTAGAGGTGTGGCTCAAGTGGTACAGAGCCAACCTTGAGTAGAACAAGCTGAGTAGGGGCTGGGAAGGTGGCTCAGTGGTAGAGCACTTGCCTGGCATGCATGAGGCCCTGGGTTCGATTCCTCAGCACCACATAAGCAAAAAGAAAAAAAGCCCGAAGTGGTGCTGTGGCTCAAGTAGCAGAGTGCTAGCCTTGAGCTGAAGAGCTGAGGGACAGCACCCAGGCCCAGAGTTCAGGCCCCATGACCGGACCCAAAAAAAAAAAAAAAAAAAGCTGAGTACCCAAAGTCCTGAATTCAAGCCCCAAATAAATAAATAAGCACATAAATAGAAAGATAGGTAAATACTGAAATGATCCTTTTGGGGGTGGGGGCAGTAAGGGAGTGCTGGTTCTCGGACTTAAACTCACTATTGGGGAACTTTTTAGCTCAAGGCTAGTGTTCTACCACTTGAGCCACAACTCTACTTCCATCTGGATTAGGGGCTGGGGGGAGGGGGGTGTTGTTGTTCTTGGGGTTTTTTGGTGGTGGTGGTGGTGGTGGTCCTGGCGTTTCAACTCTGAAAGAAAGAAAGAAAGACTTTCCTGCCTAGGCTGGCTTCAAACTATGATCCTCAGATCTCAGCCTTCTGCATAGCTAGGATTTTAGGCATGAGCCACTGGCTCTTGACTAGAAGGATCTTAAAACTGTAAACAGCTTTATTTCCCTGAGAAAATAAGAACTATAGCTTTCTCAAATTCTACTTTTTTCTTCAAGGATGTTACTATATTATATTTTTGAGAAAAATCATGTTTTATTCATCTTCACGGAGATTCTAAAGAAGGATGGAATGTAACTTGCAGCTTCTGTCGGAGAGCATATGTGAAATACTTAGGTTCCCCTGTGGTTGCTGCGGGCAAACTGATTTCTGTATTCATGGGTGACACAGCAAAGACATCGGCACATGGCACTTATGCACACCAATTCTCCAGGCTGTTAAAAGAAAGATACATATAAGCTGATTATCAGGGATTATTGGTTTAAACAGATCTGATCAGAAATTGTTGTATCTATAATGGCCATATTTTAAACTAAAAGTCCTATGATCTGAGTACATATACATCAACATGAGCAAAACTAAAATTTTCAAAATTCAAGACTTCTTGTCTCTACAAGATCAACAGAGTGAAACATCATATGTACTTTATTCCTAGACTATAGTGGTGCAGGGTAGCGATGCATACTCCAGCTAACACCAGAGTGATCTCACTGTGTGCTAAGCAGTTTTCATTCACAACAATCTTGTAAATTAGGTACTATTAGTGTGTGTGTGTGTGTGTGTGTGTGTGTGTGAGTGCGTGCGTGTGTGCGTGTGTGTGTGTGTGTGTGTGCGCGTGCGTACGTGCGTGTGTGTGTATTTGGGGGTTTGTTTTTGTTTTGGGCCAGTCCTGGGGCCTGAACTCAGGGCCTGGATGCTGTCCCTAACCTTCTTTTGCACAAAGCTAGCACTCTACCACTGGAGCCACGGCATCATTTCTGGCTTTTTCTGTTTATGTGGTATTGAGGAATTGAACACAGGTCTTCATGCATGCTAGGTAAGCAGTCTACCAGAGCTACCTTCCCGGTACATTAGGTGTCATTTTAGTATCTCCATCTAATGCATAAGAACATTTAAACTCCAAGGCAAAGTCACTTACCAGAGGTCACATCACCATAAGTAGCAGAATTGGTATTTGAAAAAAGAGCAAGCAGATCTAAAGTCTGTACTTTTTTTTCCCCCTCTTCTTTTTCTTTCTTTTCTTCCTTCCTTTCTTTCTTCTTTCCTTTCAGTAATTTGTGGTATACTGGTAATCAAATCCAAGGCTTCACACATTCTAGGCAAGCTCATGCATTTATTAAATTCTGCTTTTCATTATGAGGTATAAAATGAAAAGATGTTTAAGTGCTTATGTAATCATCCAAGAAAACATTAAACTGTGCTAAAAGTAACATCAACAGATTATGCTTTATTGGATTCAAATTCTAGAAAAATTGGTATATCCAAGTCTCAGTTCTTTCTCGTTAGTTCCCAACTACTCTGTGCAAATAAGAGTTTGCTTCATGAGACCTTCTCTATACTTTTATATATGTATGTATGTTCCACATGCTCCAGAGTCATTTTGAGGAGAAAACATGAAATTAGGTGGATATAAAAAGACTGGCAGGGCTGGGAAGGTGGCTCAGTGGTAGAGTGCTTGCCTTGCATGCTTGAGGCCTGGGTTCGATTCCTCAGCACCACATAAGCAAAAAGAAAAAAGCCGGAAGTGGAGCTGTGGCTCAGGTGGTAGAACGCTAGCCTGAGCTGAAGAGCTGAGGGACAGTGCCCAGGCCCAGAGTTCAGGCCCACTACTGGACCCTCCCCCCTCCCAAAAAAAAAAGACTGGCAATGTTTTAGGAAAGCAATAACACAGTTAAGTTTTACTTGCTAGGTGTTTTGTTTTGCTTTTTTGTGCCAGTAGTAGTGCTTGAGTATTGTGCCTGAGCCCTTTTGCTCTAGACTAGAACTCTACCACTTGAGCCACAGCTTCTCTTCTGGTTGTTTTATGGTTAACTGGAGATAAGAGTCACAAACTTTCTTGCCTGGGCTGGCTTCAAACTGTAAACCTCAGATCTCAACTCCTGAGTAGTCAGGATGATAAGCATGAGCCACCAGAGCCCAGCAACCTGCTAGTTTACAGTGCCATGTGAGAAGTCAGGCACTAGCTGCTTAGGAGACTGAGATCTGAGAATCATGATTCAGAGCCAGCCTGGACAGGAAAGCCTATGGGATCCTTCTCTCCAGTTAACTAGCAAAAAGACATAAATGGAACTGTGGGCTCAAGTGGCAGAATGCAAGCAAAAAAAGGTAAGAGATAGTGCCCAGGCCTTGAGTTCAATGAGTTCAAGCCCCAGCACTGGCACGCAGGCACACGTGTGCATACACACACACACACACACACACACACACACACACAAATAGCACGTGAGAATAAGAAATGATATAACACTGGAAATTGGAAACTGCAATGTTACCAAATGAAATCTGCCTTTTATTTTGCCAGTTCTGGGTTTAAATTCAGCTCCGAAGCAATCACTGAACCTCTTTCTGCTGAAGGCTAGCACTCTACCACTTGAGCTTTTTTCTGAGTAGTTTATTGGAGCTGGGAAGGTGGCTCAGTGGTAGAGCGCTTGCCTTGCATACATGATGCCATGGGTTTGATTCCTCAATACCACATAAGCAGAAAAAGCCAGAAGTGGTGCTATGGCCTAAGTGGTAGAGCACTAGCCTTGAGCTGAAGAGATGAGGGACAGTGCCCAGGCCCAGAGTTCAGGCCCCACAACTAACAACAACAACAAAAAAGAATCTCATGTCAGTGTTCTAGTAGCTCATGCCTGTAATCCTAGCTACTAAGGAGGTTAAGACCAGAAGATCTCAGTTCAAAGCCAGCTCATGCAGAAAAGTCCCCATGAGACTCTTATCTCTAATTAACCACTCAAAAACCAGAGCACTATGGCTCAAGCGGTCAAGCACTAGCTTTGAGCACAAAGTTTGGGGCCAGAGCATAGTTCAAGCCCCACAGCTGACAACAACAAAAAAAGAATCTCACAGACATTTCTGCCTGGGCTGGCTTTGAACTGTGATCCTCAGATGTCAGCTTGAGTAGCCAGATTACAGGCGTGACCCATCAGCCTACCATTCTTTTTTTTTTTTTTTTGTCAGTCCTGGGGCTTGAACTCAGGGCCTGGGCACTGTCCCTGAGCTTCTTCTACTCAAAGCTAGCACTCTACCACTTGAGCCACAGCGCCACCACCGACCTTTTCTGTTTATGTGGTACTGAGGAATCAAATCCAGGGCTTCATACATTCTACATACTCAACCATTAAGCTGCATTTCCAGCCCCTACCATTCATCTTAACTAAACAAAATTCTCCACAATTTCTCCATTTTTCTGTTGGTGGTGGTGGTGGTAGTGGTTGTGGGGCTTGAACTCAGCCTGGGCGCTTGAGCCTCTTTGTGCTCAAAGTTAGCACTCTACCACTTGAGCCACTTCTGGCTTTTTCTGAGTGGTTTATTGGAGATAAAAGTCTCATGGACTTGGGGCTGGGAAGGTGGCTCAGTGGTAGAGCGCTTGCCTTGCATGCCTGAGGCCCTGGGTTCGATTCCTCAGCACCACATAAGCAAAAAGAAAAAAAAAGCCGGAAGTGGCGATGTGGCTCAAGTGGTAGAGTGCTAGCATTGAGCTGAAGAGCTGAGGGATAGCGCCCAGGCCCAGAGTTCAGGCCCCACGACTGGACCAAAAAAAAAAAAAAAGTCTCGTGGACTTTTCTTCCCCACTGGCGATCCCCAGATCTCAGCTTCCTGAGTAACTAGTATTACAGACATGAGCCACCAGCACCCAGCAGCTTAACCTTTTAAAGAGAATTTCTCTCTCTTCTTTTTGGATCTCCATGGGATCTCAAAGATGCAAAATAATGCTCTGACAAAGTCTCCTTTTAGTACAGTATCATAAAAATCAAAAATAAGAAAATAAATGACTCAATTCCAGATGCCTTTCCATCTATTATATTGCTGTCATATTTGATTCAAATGCCAGAGTTGTCCACTAGCCTACATCTAGAGGTGCTGGCTCACCCAACAGTGGTCATTCTTGTGTGAGCACTGAACTTTACACAACAAAGGAGTCAGCCACCTTCATTTTCTTTAGATGCAAGAAACAGCACAGATTTGATGACCAAGTGATTGTCACTTGGGCTGAAGAGGTCTTCTCAAACCAGCTTTCCCTTCCCTTAGGGAGAATCCAATTTCCTCATTGGCTTTTTCTTGACATTTAAGTTTAGTTAGGCGCTTCATTTCATATTCCCTTTCAAGTTTGATAGCTAAAAAACAAAACACATAAAGCCATTCAACTGGCATTTTCACATGGCATATTTGAGTCAAAATATCATACAACAAAATTTCATTAGGCATAATGTAGTCAAAATATAATACAATAAAATTCAAGGAACAAGATACCAGGCTACAAATCCAGAAGGTATAAAAAATAAAAGATAGGAAGTATGGGGATGGATGGAATATCTAAATATTTCTTTAACAATAAGCAATTGGAAGTGGTACTGTGGCTCAAGTGGTAAAGCACTACGCTTGAGCTGATGAGCTGAGGGATAGTACCCAGGCCCAGAGTTCAAGCACCATGACCGACAAAAATTTTAAAAAAGCAATTAACATACACACTTTACAATTTGTTAAAGCAGATCATAAGGAACTTACTTTCTGCTGAAGGGAGCATAAAGTCCTTTGCGTTATTTTGTGTGAGTTGCACAGTACAACCATATGTAATTTCTTCCAAGAAAGGCAATTGGACTTGGGCTAAGTTAGTATACCAGGCTTGTGTAAGCAGTGCAAGATCCCAGGGTTCCTGTCTGGGGCAAAATTTCATAAATTCATTCAATTAATGTTTATTTAGCACATCCTGTGTGAAATACAATGACTTGCTCATTCGCAGGTCTAGTTACTGCTAGGCATTTTGCATTACAAGGGAGTATTCAGAATTTTCCAGAGTTGTAACTCTAAGAGAAGCTTTCTATTAACTAATGCAGGCACATAATGAAAAATTACAATGCCAGGCACTCTTGTTCAAATACATCTTCCTGGGAGTCAATCCAATCTTTTCATGTAAGAGGATAGCTTTACCCCTCAGCAGATGAATGGATCAAGAAAATGTGGTGTATATACATAATGGAATTCTATGCTTTCATCAGAAAGAATGACATTGTCCCATTTGTAAGGAAATGGAAAGACTTGGAAAAAATTCTATTAAGCGAAGCAAGCCAGACCCAAAGAAACATAGGCTGCATCATTTCCCTCATTTGTAATAACTAGAATATGTCCAAGATATTCTTAGCAGAAGATCACATAGCTCAATAGCTATGTGCATATGAGCATATAAAATGATGCCTATCAAAATGAACTCTAAGAAATGGAAACAAATGGGTATTTTTAGTTTACTGTTTGCAGTTTTCTTTTTTCTTTCCTTTTTTCCTGTGGTTTATTCCCTGATGTGATTGTTTTTTTATTTCTATACCCCTTGCCTTGTATATAAGTTTTTTGATTTGGGGATGGGAAGGGGAATCCCAGAAATGGTGGGACAAACGGTGAACCAATACAACAGTGATACTCACAAGACACTATGTTGGAAATGTACTTTACAACTTGGGGAAGGCAGGGAGGATCAGGATGGGGGAAGTGCGAGAAAATGAGGGAGGGGGTAACTGTTCAAAAAGCAATGTACGGGGCTGAGAAGGTGGCTCAGTGGTAGAGCGCTTGCCTTGCATGCCTGAAGCCCTGGGTTTGATTCCTCAGCACCACATAAGAAAAATCCAGAAGTGGTGCTGTGGCTCAAGTGGTAGAACACTAGCCTTGAGCTGAAGAGCTGAGGGACAACGCCCAGACCCAGAGTTCAGGCCCCATGACCGGACCCAAAAAAAAAAGAAAAAGCAATGTACTCATTACTATATATATATATATAACTCATCTGTACATCATCTTTACAATAAAATTTAAAAATAAATATTACCTATTACAGATACAAAAAGAAGTACATTAGGAAGTTTTCAGTAAAACAAGTCTTTATTCTATAGCTGTCATCTACATTAAAACTGAAGGTAAGCTGGGTCCCAGGTTCACAACTGTAATCCTAGCTACTCAGGAGGATGAGATCTGAGGATCACACTTCAAAGCCAGCCAGGGCAAGAAAGTCTGTGAGACTCTTATCTCCAATTAACCACCAGAAAACTGGAAGTGGCACTGTGGCTCAAGTGGTAGAGTGCTCATCTTGAGCTTAAGAGCTGAGGGACAGTACCCAGACCCAGAGTTCAAGCCCCACGACCGACAAAAAACAAACAAAAAACTGAGGGTATTTGATAAGTGTCCAGAGAAGTGTCAGAGATGTCACTTAAGTTATTAATCATAGTAGAAAAATTATAATTTGTCATTCAAAGATGCATGGAAAAATAATAATGGGCTGGGAATTTGGTTTAGTGGTAGAGTGCTTGCCTAGCATTCATGAAGCCCTGGGTTCTATTCCTCAGTACCACATAAAGAGAAAAAGCCAGAAGGAGTGCTGTGGCTCATATGATAGAGTGCTAGCCTTGAGCAAAAGAAGGTCAGGGACAATGCTCAGGCCCCGAGTTCAAGTCCCAGGACTGACAAGAAAGAAGAAGAAGGAGGAGGAGGAGGAGGAGGAGGAGGAGGAGGAGGAGGAGGAGAAGGAGGAGGAGGAGGAGGAGGAGGAGAAGGAGAAGAAGGAGGAGAAGAGGGAGAGGGAGAAGGAGAAGGAGAAGGAGGAGAAGGAAAAGGAGGAGAAGGAGGAGGAGGAGGAGGAGGAGAAGGAGAAGGAGGAGAAGGAGGAGGAGGAGGAGAAGGAGAAGGAGAAGGAGAAGGAGGAGGAGGAGAAGAGGAAGAGGAAGGAGAAGGAGGAGAAGAGGAAGAGGAAGGAGAAGGAGAAGAGGAAGAGGAGGAGGAAGAAGAAGAAGAAGAAGAAGAAGAAGAAGAAGAAGAAGAAGAAGAAGAAGAAGAAGAAGAAGAAGAAGAAGACGAAGAAGAAGAAGAAGAAGAAGAAGAAGAAGAAGAAGAAGAAGAAGAAGAAGAAGAAGAAGGTAAAGAGGACAGCTTTAAAGACTGATGCTGTCACAGTATTGTGTGGGTACATGGCCTTGGAGTAAGGCTTTGAGTATGGAGAATGAAACCACAATTGAAACAGTCACTCTGAGCCAAGCTATTGTAATCCCAGCTACTCAGGAGGCTGAGATAAGAAAGCCAGCCAGGACAGACAAATCCATGAGTTTGTTGTTATTGTTTTGTTTTCTTTTGTTTTGGTCCGGTCGTGGGGCTTGAACTCTGGGCCTGGGCGCTGTCCCTCAGCTCTTCAGCTCAAGTCACAGCACCACTTCCGGCTTTTTTCTTTTTGCTTATGTGGTGCTGAGGAATCGAACCTAGGGCCTCATGCATGCAAGGCAAGCGCTCTACCATTGAGCCACCTTCCCAGCCCTGTTGTTGTTATTGTTTTTGTTTTCTTTTTTAATCTCCAGTTGACCAGCAAAATGGCAGGACTGGAGGTATGGCTCAAGTGGTAGAGCACCAACTGTGAGTAAGCAGAGTGAGAGCGTGAGGCAGAATTCAAACCAGATCTAATGGTATGTGTGTGTGTGTGCAATCACACACACATGCACACAAACACACACACACACACACACACACACACACACACACACACACACATTCACTCTCAAAATTACCCTGAATCCATTCTCAGGGAAATGGATGGAACTAGAAGAAGTCATGGTGAGTGAGGTAAGCCAAGAGCAAAGAGACAAACAGCACATGGTCTCCCTGATAAGTGGATGTTAAATCCAAAAGGTAAGGAGATACGACAAAGTAAACAAGACTCGAGAAATGAAGGACCTCCACTCATCAGGTCAAATCATTACTAAATAATCCCATGCTGAAAAAAAAAAATCCCATGCTGCTAACCGCATATATGGGAGATATATAAAGATATACATAGATAAATACATATAGATATATATATATATTTGTGTGTGTGTGTGTGTGTGTGTGTGTACATCGGAAGGAAACTAGGAGGACAACAAAGAAACAGAGGGAAATGGGAAAACATACAACAGCGGGACCCATCAGATGCACTAAGCAACTCATTAGAAGTAACAGAAGGGAGGGAATAAGCAAGAAAGAGGAAACAGCTGACACCAAGCAAAAGGAAAGAAATGTACATATCACCCGATGTAGAAGAAATAACGGTATTGTCAAAACTTTATAGACCACAATAAAGACAATTTGCCCCATGAAGGTTAGAATGTGTTTGTGACTTTAACTATCACTATCCCACAATACTGTGAAATTTGTGAAATTTATTTATTTATTTATTTTAATTTTTTTTGGGGGGGGGCGTCCGGTCTTGGGCCTGAACTCTAGGCCTGGGCGCTGTCCCTCAGCTCTTCAGCTCAAGGCTAGCTCTCCACCACTTGAGCCACAGCGCCACTTCTAGCTTTTTTTTTCTGCTTATGTGGTGCTGAGGAATCGAACCCAGAGCCTCATGTATGCAAGGCAAGCGCTCTATTACTGAGCCACCTTTCCAGCCCAAATTTGTGAAATGTATGTAATCACTTAATCACAATAAAAAAATTGCTAAAAAAAAAAAATAGAGATCAACTTAAAAAAAACAAACAAACACCACTGAGATTTTACCTCACCTCAATTAGAATGGCAACTATCAAGAAAACTAACAGAAGTGGCAGGGGGGCAGGTAGATGGAAGGGGAGGGATCATAAGGGCAAACAAAGGAGGAGGCAACAATGCTTGATAAGCAATGTACTCATTACCTTGCTCATGTAATTGTAATCCCTCTGTATGGTATTTTCACAATAAAAAACTTATTAATAATAATAATAAAAAGAAAACTAACAATCACAGATGCTAGTGAGGATGAGACCAAAAAAGAATATTACATTGTTTTGTTTTGTTTTTTCTGTTGGTAGTGGTGCCTGAACTCTGGGCCTGGGTGCTGTCCCTCAGCTCTTCAGCTCAAGGCTAGCACTTTACCACTTGAGCCACAGCACCACTTCTGACTTTTTCTGCTTATGTAGTGCTGAGGAATTGAACCTAAGGCATCATGCGTGCAAGGCAAGCACTCTACCACTGAGCCACCTTCCGAGCCCAAGAATACTACATTGTTAGGGCAATGTAAACTTATTCACACTCTAGAAAGCAGTCTGAAGATTCCTCAAAAGACTAAACATAAAGCTCCCCTATGACCTAGCAATCCCACTCCTGGGTATTTATCCAACAGACCACAAACATGGCCACACTAAAGCTACCAACACAAACATGTTCATTGCAGCTTTGTTTACCATAGCCAAGATATGGAATCAATCCAGGGGCTCTTCAGTGGATGAATGGACCAAGAAAATGTGATATATAGATATATAGACACACACACACACACACACACACACACACACACACACACTAGAATTCTATGCTTCTGTAGAAAGAATGATATTGCACCATTTGTAAGGAAATGAGAAGAGTTGGAAAAAATATATAAAGTGAAGCAAGCCAGACCCAAAGAAAAATAGGTTGTATGGTTTCCCTAATTTGTAGTAACTAGAATGTGTCTATAGCACTACAAGTAAACACACTGGATGATAAGACCAAAAATTATACTTAGGCATGATAAATTATAAGACTCTAAACATTCACACAGTGGTATCAATGGAGGATATTCTTAGGAGAGGATCACAAAGGCTCAATCGCTAGGTGCATATGATCATATAAAATGATGTTTTTTTAAATGAACTCCAAGGGATGGAAACAAAAGGCTTTTTGTTACTTTGCTTTTTATTTTAAAAAAATTACCCTGAAACTTAAATGAACTGTTTGATTAGCTGGAGTAAAAACATGCATGTTAGCCTTTATTTTCATCTTAGTCTATATGAGTTCAATCTCATGGGGGCTGGGAAGGTGGCTCAGTGGTGGAGTGCTTGCCTTGCATGCATGAGGCCCTGGGTTCAATTCCTCAGCACCATAAAAGCAGAAAAAGTCAGAAGTGGCACTGTGGCTCAAGTGGTAGAGTGCTAGCCTTGAGCTGAAGAGCTCAGGGACAGTGCCCAGGCTCAGAGTTCAGGCCCCACAACCTACCAAAAAAACAAAACAAAACAATCTCATTTACATATGGAAAGTAGAAAACATGCTTTGTTAAGAGAACAAAAAGGGATAGTATTGCCCTTTGTTTGCTCTGACTTCCTTGACAATTTATCATCTAATTTTAAGGAGTGACATAGTTTATAAACATTATAGATGTATTTGAACAAATTACACATATATAAAAATGTTCAGCTCAGGGCTGGGAAGGTGGCTCAGTGGTAGAGCGCTTGCCTTGCATGTATGAGGCCCTGGGTTCGATTCCTCAGCACCACATAAGCAAAAAGAAAAAAGTCGGAAGTGGCGCTGGTGGCTCAAGTGGTAGAGTGCTAGTCTTGAGCTGAAGAGCTGAGGGGCAGCACCCAGGCCCAGAGTTCAGGCCCCACGACTGGACCCAAAAAAATAAAATAAAATAAAATAAAGTTTGTGAATTCTATGAGCTTTGACAATACAGCTATTTTTTTTCCTTTGCTTAGTGTTAACTGTTCCCTCTTTCCCTCTCATTCGCTCCCTCCCATCACCGCCCTTGGGTGGCCTAGTTTATTTTCCTCAATGTCCAGTGCAGCTGATGAGCCCCTTTGTTTTCCCCTGTTTCCCTCTGATTCTGTGTCCTCCTCCTAGCTTCCCTCCGATGTTGGTTTTCTGGTGTTTTATTGGAGATAAGAGTCTCACGGAGTTTCCTGCCTGGGCTGGCTTTGAACCACAATCCTCAGATCTCAGCCTCCTGAGTAGCTAGGATTACAGTGTGAGCCACTGGTGCCTGGCTTGGTCTACCCTTATATGTTGCTTTAGGAAAATGAACAGTAAAGGAGCTAATGCTTTTATAGTCCCTACTATATGTTAGGCACTGTTTTAAGCAGTTTATGCATCTGAACTAATTTAATTACTACAACAACTCCATGAAGAGAACAGATACTATTTACCATCCTCATTTTACAGATTAGGAAATTGAAAAGCAAAGAACTTGTCTGGGAGCAGGAGGGGGATATGGGAAGGGATAGGAAGGGGAAACAAAGGAGGAAGCAACAATGCTTGATAAGAAATGTACTCATGGGGCCGGGAAGGTGGCTCAGTGGTAGAGCGCTTGCCTTGCATGCTTGAGGCCCTGGGTTCGATTCCTCAGCACCACATAAGCAAAAAGAAAAAAGCCAGAAGTGGCGCTGTGGCTCAAGTGGTAGAGCACTAGCCTTGAGCTAAAGGGCTGAGGGACAGCGCCCAGGCCCAGAGTTCAGGCCCCACGACCAGACCCAAAAAAAAAAAGAAATGTACTCATTATCTTGCCCATGTAATTGCCATGTAATAAAAAATTTTTAAAAAAGAACTTGTCTCTGGTAATAAGAGGCGGTTATGTATAGTAAAGTCTGAATTACAGAAATCAATCTATACAAGGAGGGGGTTGTTTTATGTTTGGGGGCTTTATACTTTCTAGGTAAGCACTTAATTTTTTATTTTTATTTTCTTTGTGCCAGTCCTGGGGCTTGAATTCAGGGCCTGGGCACTGTCCCTTGAACTTCTTCATTCTACCACTTGAGTCACAACTCCACTGCCCACTTTTTGTTAGTTTTTTGAGATAAGAGTATCATGGACTTCCCTGCCCAGGCTGGTATCAAACCATAATCCTCAGATCTCAGTCTCCTGAGAAGCTAGTATTACAGGCAGTAGCCACTGGCACCCAGCCTTCCTTTAATTTTATATATAGCAGTTTTTAAAGAATAGCTAGGAGCTGGCCACTGTGCTCACACCTGTAATCCTGGCAACTCAGGAGGCTGAGGTCTGAAGATCACAGTTCAAAGCCAGTCCAGATAAGAAAGGCTATGAGATTCTTAGCTCCAATTAATTACCAGAAAACTGAACGTGGTGGTATGGCTTAGAGAGGTAGAGTACTAGCCTTGAGTGAAAAAGCTCAGTGCCCAAATCCTAGCTTCAAGCTCTATGATAGAAGGAAGAAAAAGAAGGAGAAGGAAGGAGGAGAAGGAAAGATGGAGGAAGAAAGAAAAGGAAGGAAGAGGAAGGAGGAGGAAGGAAGAGATAGAAGGAGGAACAGTCTGTGGTGGCTCACACCTGCAAGATCTAAGGATCACAGTTTGAAGCCAGACAGAGCAAGAAGTCCATGAGATTCATCTCCAATTGATCCTTTGTTGTTGTTGTTGTTTTAAGACAAAAGTAGAGGTGTGGCTCAAGTGGTACTGTCAAACTTGAGTGAAATAGTCAAGTAAGCGCACAATGCCCTGAGTACCCAGAACCAGCAGCCAAAAACAAAGCAACAAAAAAAGTACTACAATAAGGCCATGGAATGAAACTGTGTGGTAGCGATGACACAGAGTCATTATATATTCTCTACACTCCAGGCAGCATACAAGCACTTGACATGCATTATTTCATGGGCAATCTGCACCACACGGATTGGTGTTATCACACCATTTTATAGATGTGGAAGTCTCTCATAGATAGCCCAGAAGAGGATGTAGAGGAAGCCAGGGCAGGATCAGGCTCAGAGCCCAGGTTTTTGTGATTTCAAGTCTATGTTGTCTACCCATTATCTGCCTGCCAAAGCAGGCAGACTTGTCTGTGCCAGCTAATGATGTAATCTGTTAAGATTCTTCTTGCCGGGCACCAGTGGCTCATGCCTGTAACCCTAGCTACTCAGGAGGCTAAGATCTGAGGATTATGATTTAAAGCCAGCCAGGGCAGGAAAGTCCATGAGACTCTTATCTCCCATTAACCACCAGAAAACGGGAAGTGGCACTGTGTCTCAACTGGTAGAGCGCTCGCCTTGAGCTGAAGAGCTCAGGGACAGTGCCCAGGCCTGAGTTCAAGCCCCACGACTGACAAAAAATAAATAAAATATAAGGGTATCCAGAACTCTTTTCACTAACACATTCCTCACTCCAGGTTTGCTCCAGGAATTATAACATACTTACACTTTGTAACAGCTGCCACGCAGAATGGTTTTTACTGTGTTCTTTCGTGGTAAACCATAAGCCATGGTGAATGATCACAGTCCAAATTTCTTTACATGGGTGTCTGCTGTAGGTGACTCGCCTGAGAAGATGGCAATAGACCCAATTAATGGCTTTCGCTGCACTGTTTCGTAGCCAAAGAGTAAAAGGTCCAGAGAAAGCATTTAGGAATGTCGGTCTGCTCTTAATAAAGGCTCCTTGACCTTGAGCCTCTGAATGAAAACCTGGGCGCGCTGAATTTCCATGAACTCATTTTGAACAGTCTTGTCACCATCTAGGGAGAAAACGCCAGACAAGATTGTGTCATCGTGAGACAAGGTTTCGGTTGACAGCAGGGGCGTTCGCTCCGGGCGTGTGCACTGTGCCCGAACCTGCCAAACCCGCGTCGACGCGGCCAGGCCAGAGCGAGTCTCCGCGGGGCGGCGGCGTCCGGGGGCCCGGGCTGGGCCGGGAGGGGCGGGGCCGGGGAGGGGCGGGGCCGGGCCTTTCAGCAGGACCCTCCCCAGCTTGCCTTCATCTCCAAGTCTGAAGTTGGCAAGCGCGCGCCCCCGCCCCGCGTCCCTGCCCACACCCCGAGATCGGAGGAGGGCCTCCCTCCCTCCCGTCCCGGAAGGCGCGGGAACGCGTTCCCAGGATGGGCGGAGGCCGCGGCCGCAGGCCCGGGGCCAAGGCGAGGGGAGGCGACCAGGTCCTGCAGCTTCCCACGCCCGGGCCGGGCCTTACTCTCCTCCCTCCCGCCTCGCCCGGCGCGCGGCCGCCTGCGGACCCGGGCTCGGGGATGTCGGTGGATCGTGGTCCTCACAGACTGTGCGCAGGGCGCACGCGGGCTAGGAGCTCATGGCCGCGCACTCGCCGCGAGCCCGCGGCGGGCACGCGCTCTCTTCTAGCTGGCCCGGGAGGCCGTCGGCCGCCCAGACCCCGCCCCCGACGTGCGTCATGCCGTGGCCTCAATAAAGGGCTTTGTGGTGGCCGTGCGCGCGGCCTCGCGCCGGGCGCGGCTGGCTGCGGGGCCCACCCGGCGGCCCAGAGACCGCGCTGGGGGCCGCGTGGAAAGCCTGGCACGCCCAGCGCGGGCACAGGTTCACGCGCTTGAGTGGGAAAGGCGGTTCACAGGCGGAAGCTCGGGGCCCGCCTGTGACATCTTGGGGGACCCCGTCCAGAGGGACCGATTTCAAAAGTGGATGCGCAGCCGGGTGCCAGTGGCTCACGCCTGTAATTCTAGCTACTCAGGAGGCTGAGATCTGAGGATCGCGGTTCAAAGCCAGCCCAGGCAGGAAAATCCGTGACACTCTTATCTCCAATAAGCCACTAGAAAACCAGAAGTGGCGCTGTGGTTCAAGTGGTAGAGCGCTCGCCTTGAGCTGAAGAGCTGAGGGACAGCGCTCAGGCCCAGAGTTCAAGCCCCAAGACCGACAATGGGTGCGCTGCCGTGACTGCGAGGCCCTGTCTGAACTCGTCGGGCGGTCAGTGAAGGGCTTACGGTGACAGTGACAGCTTGCAGTGTCATTCTGTGTGAGAGGTTTGAGACCACACCTGGTTGGGCTTCTAGCTTGGCTACTTGATGACTCTAAAAATTCTTGCACACGTCACTCTGAGCCTCGATTTCTTCATCTATACAGGAATGATAGTGAGTGCTCTGCTTGAGGGCTTATGGAGATTAAAGAGTGTACCTTTATATACTGTGCATGATTAGGGTCTAATTGTGAGCTTATTTGTGTAACCTAGCTACTCTAAGAGGCTGAGTTCTGAGGATGGATGAACCCTCGGGATCAGGAACCCTCTTGATTGTCCCTGAGGTTCTCATCTCCCATTAACCACCAAGAAGCTGGAAATTAAGCTGTGGCTCAAGTAGTAGAGTGATATCCTTGAGTGAAAATGCTCAAGGATAGCGCCTAGGCCCTGAGTTCAAGTCCTAGTATCAGCACAGGAAAAAAAAAAAAAAAGCAAATAAGCAAACAAAAAACAAACGGGTGAGCCCTTGCCAGGTCTTCCTCGGTCCCACGAAAGACTTCCTCGGGTCTGAGGAAAGGTAAGTGCTGCGCATAAGTGCAGCGCTGACTCGTTCCCCAGCCTCCCTCAGCCCAGAAGACAATCAGACACAGCTGGGAGTCAAATCAAGCAGGAAAAAACTCCTTTATTAACAAAGAGCAAGCCCTTTTTAAAGCAAAAAAGAGCAGGTGGCATGGCAGGGGAGGAAGAGGAACCAATCACTGTCAAGGTCACACCCTATCATGCACCTAAGCTTCCACAGGCTGGTTATGCACTGAACCTAAAGCAAATTGGGCTCAGCCCACTCAACTTGTGCCCTACAGTAAATCGGGCTCTGCCCACTCAACTCCCTCTCAGCGCCATCTTTGCCGCCCATGTACTCTACAGAGTCCCCCTTTTTTTGTTTTAATGGCAGACCCACCTCCCAGTCAGTTATCCTTTTCCCTCCTCTGTAAAGGTTGTTTTAACAGGATTACATTGGTAAGGATAGCATTGGCCGCGAAGGGGGTTTGGGGTAAGTCTGGGAGTCGAGATACGCCACACAAAGATAGAGAGGGCCCTTGTGCATGATCCAAGAGCCCGTCCCAGTGACCTCACATCCCCACCTAGCAGAGTAATAAACATCAGCCCCGCTACAGTTAGAAATGTCCGAAGCAGTTCGATTAATTCCGGGGCATATATATGAGTCAGTATCTGGTAAGGTCATCCTCTTCAGAACATGGAAGCAGCCTGGGTATTGGGGTTCCACACATGCGGCACAGTGCATCCTCGTGGGACCCCACACTCAGGCCATTCTACTATAGTCCAGAAAAACAAGGAAAATTTAAAACAAACTGCAGACACGCAAAGCAATCCTGGGCAATCTTTTAAGTGAGCCAGTTCCTTGTACATGCCTTTAAGCGAGCACAGGGGTCAAGATGACCTTTGAGCTTTACTGTCAGCTCCCAACAAGCCCTTAATTGAACTGTGAGACCAATGGAGTAGATTTTGGCCTGAAATTATTTTAAAATGGGAAATAAATGTAGCACACAAGTGTAAAATACAGTTGGTTGATGGACTTTGGCTTCTGTCACATTTATGTACGTAGGCTCCTGCCGGTGTGTGATTCACTGCAATGTAACATACAATTCTTTTTTTTTTGGGGGGGGGGGTCCAGTTGTGGGGCTTGAACTCAGGGCCTGGGTGCTGTCCCTCAGCTCTTCAGCTCAAGGCTAGCGCTCTACCACTTGAGCCACAGTGCCACTTCTGGCTTTTTTTCTTTTTGCTTATGTGGTGCTGAGGAATCGAACCCAGGGCCTCAGGCATGCAAGGCAAGCACCCTACCACTAAGCCACCTTCCCAGCCCACATACAATTCTTATAGTGAATCTAAAAGGTTGAAAGCACTTTTAGTTGTGGAGATGTAGTCAGTGGTGCTTTAGCCTAGCAGGTGTGTAGCCCTAAATTCAATCTTCTGTATTGGAAAAACTAAACCAGATATATTGTCTTAGATCATTTCACTTGAGGGATGAAAAACAGAAGCTATCTGAGGACACACCCAGGTCAAAATGAAAAGGGAACTGGGCACAGGTGGCTCACGCCTGTAATCCTAGTTACTCAGGAGGCTGAGATCTGAGGATCACGGTTCAAAGCCAGCCCGGGCAGGAAAGTCTGTGAAACTTTTTTTTTGCCGGTCATGGACCTAAACTCTGAGCCTGGGTGCTGTCTCTCAGCTCTTCAGCTCAAGGCAAGTGCTCTACCACTTGAGCCACAGCGCCACTTCCAGCGTTTTCTGTTTATGTGGTGCTGAGGAATTGAACCCAGGGCCTCATGCACTGAGCCACCTTCCCAGCCCTCCGTGAAACTCTTTTTTTTGGGGGGGGGGGGGGGGGAGGAGGGTCCTGTCGTGGGGCCTAAACTCTGGGCCTGGGCACTGTCCCTGCATTCTTCACCTCAAGGCTAGCGCTCTACCACTTGAGCCACAGCACCACTTCCGGCTTTTTTTTTTCTTTTTGCTTATGTGGTGCTGAGAAATCGAACTCAGAGCCTCAGGCTTGCAAGGCAAGTGCTCTACCACTGAGCCACCTTCCCAGCCCTCCATGAAACTTTTTTTTTTTTTTTTGCTGGTCATGGGGCTTGAACTTTGGGCCTGGGTGCTGTCTCTCAGCTCTTCAGGTCAAGGTTAGCTCTCTAACACTTGAGCCACAGCGCCACTTCTGGATTTTTCTGCTTATGTGGTGCTGAGGAATCGAACCCAGGGCCTCATGCATGCAAGGTGGCAAGCACTTTACCACTAAGCCACCTTCCCAGCCCTCCATGAAACTCTTATCTCCAATAAACCCCCAGAAAACTGGAAGTGGGCTGTGGCTCAAGTGATAGATGTTCGCCTTGAGTTGAGGAGCTGAGGGACAGTGCCCAGGCCCAGAGTTCAAGCCCCATGACCTACCAGGAAAAAAAAAAATTCTCTTGACTCCCCATCTCATTATACCCTTCCCTCCCTTATGTCTGTCCCAGAAACTTAAGTGGGTATCATTTTAGTTGGCTAAGAGCATTGCTGCCATCTAGTGTTAATATTATTACGATGAGTAATACAAAAGAAACCAGAAAATGTCCTAGGAGGTAACACAAAAAGTTATGTGGGTAGCATTTATTACATTTTTGAGTGTTGTTCAGTATCCTTCATATATCTTGACTAGATTAGTAATTAGCTATTAATTTATCAATGGTATTTGGTATTAGGAAGTCAATTTAGGCTGTTTCATTTACTTGGCATACACTCCACCACTTGAGTCACATTCTAGTCCTTTTGTTTTTTGTAGTTTGCTTTTCATATACGGTAACTTGCTTTTGCCTCAGCCTGCCTTAGACTTCTCCTAAGGACTTCCTGGCTACTAACAGATGTGAATTACAGGTATAAGCCACTGTGCCCGGCCTAGTGACATCATTTCATAGAAAAAGAAACAAGTACTTCAAGTATCAGTAACCTTTCCAATGACATAGGATTTAAACCCCAAACAACCTGATTCTGAATGTTGTTCTTTCTTCACCTTAACTTTATTATACTACACATTTTCCCAGGATAATAATTAGGGCAAGATGATCTATTTGTAAATATTTTTGCATCTGCCCTTTTTAAACATTGCGATAATCTTTCTAGTAATCGCTCCAATTTCAAAGATCAATGTTTTTGTTTATCTTAACCTGTAAATGATGGATATACTTACACTTTTTTTCATGGCTGTTTCCAAAATTTCTCTAGTAATGACACCAACCTCTCTATGATCAAATAATAGCATTGAAACCCTAAATGTTCTCCACCATTTTGTT